TTATCTTCTTGCTTCATTAAATAATACAAAAATTAATGCTTTTAAGTTTGATCTTGCATATTATTTAGATTCAACAGAAACAAGTAACAAAGGATTAAATACAATGGCAAATATTGGTATAACAACAACAGCAAGAGCAGTAGATTGTAAGAAAAAAAAATATCAGAAGAGCACAAAAAACGCGTAAAAGATGTTCTTACAGAATATTTAGATAATGTTTTTATATTAAATATTGATGATTATCATAATATTCATGTTCAACAACAATCTGACACTACCAATACATCTTGGGTGACACATATGACAACAATCGTGACAAATCTGTGCTTAACATCAGTAATACCGTACAATAAAGTACTTAATCCAAAAATTGTAAATGGTGAACTAGTTGCGCAATATCTTGAAAAGTGATTCATTGTAAATCTTGGTGTTTCATATTATAATTATATGTGGGATTAGAGATGGTGCAGCAAGTACGTGACACTTATTTGTCACCCATTGCAATATGTTGCAACTTCAAAATTTTATAAGCCACAACTAGTTGCAACTAGGTGATGCTTTATTTGTCACCACGTTGCAACAGTTGTCATGCCATCTTTATGCGGGATTACATAAAAAGAGAATATTCTGATAATGAACTCTTAGAGAAACTTACTTTATATAGTTATGATGATAGATTAGTAGAAAAAAAAAGTGAGCGACATGTTAAGAATTCTATTCTTTTCGACTTTGTTGAAAATAGTTTAAAGAGAATTGAAGGATATCTAGACACGCTTCAAACTGTATGCAATCAAGAACCAATGCGAGCATATCTTTCTAATTACACAATTCCTATCATCACAGACTGGTCCGGTCAATTCTATATCTGTAAAGCTATTGCACAAAAGATTCTCGTTAATAATCAGAATATCCCTGAATTTGTCACATTATTCTTACCTATTATGGGTCCTCTTCATGTGTCGTTGAATGCACGTGAACTTGTTTTTTTAAAAAACTCATTTTTGTTTAATAGTATTTACAAAGACATATTTGAAACCCATAAGGATCTTGATAAGAAACCACGACCATGATGAATTAACTTGATTCTTTATATCATACATATAGCTAAGGATGCTTGCCTAAATTCTTTTAGAAAAATATCGTCATAATTTTGATGGGTTACACACTAATTGTTAATTAGAATTTTGACATAATTTTGATTACAACGGGTTTCAAAATTTGTCAGAATTTTGACGGGTTATTTACTAATAGTTTATTATAATTTTGACAGAATTTAGACAGTCACTAAGGGATTTTGGCAAGCAACCTTACATATAGCATGATTTAAAATAGTCGATTTTGTTTATTTAAAATTTGGTTACATATGCAAAAATATTGAGTTTTTATATTTAACTAATCTTTTTAATAATTTAATTCCTTTAGTTTTAGATATTTATGTGATACATCATCAGAAAGGTAACTGGCTAGCTTACAAAAAAGCTTGTATGCGTTATTGGAGTGATCTTTTTTTACAGTTCGATCGAAAAAATTATAAACGCGTATCCATTATGTTTTTTCTGATGTTTTTTACTGGATGGAAACCAATCATCCAATCATTAACACAATTATTAATCATCTTGCTTCTTTAAGCGATTGTCCTGTAGAAATTATTCATAGTATTATTAGATGAAGTTCCTCTAAATTTTTGATAGGCCAGCAATTACAAAAAGCAGCACATTTTATTTTTCAACAGCGTCATAACAATGATTTCCAACAACAATTCGTACATTCTGAAAAGTATCCATATTCACCAAAACAACTATGAATGCTTTCTCAAAAATGCGCAATACAACTTTTGGAAATGTTTACCAAAATATATTGAGTATACAACCAAAATTCTTTTATTATTAGTTCATTCAATAATATTAACACATACAAATTACCATCGTTAGGTTATGAAATAACTGACCGTCACCTACCAAGAGATTTTGTTACTTCAAAAAAACCCAACATTTTTGTTCTATACGATTCCATCTATTACAATTATCTCCACGATTCGTTTAATGGTAACATCCTGGCATGCAAACACAGTTATCATAATCATTGTTTGCAAAAACAACAATTTAAATGTTTCATTTGTTTAAATTATTTACAAGATAAAATTAGAAAAAATGTTAACGCTTTAATAAAAAATTTAACAAAAAAATTAGATGAAAACGAATCTATTGATGATACTGAACATGATAACGGTGATGATGATTCAAATATAAAAGAAGTAACTGACGATATAATGATGGAGAACCTATTGGAACAAGTGAAAAAGTTATTTTTAGAGTTATAAATTTAGTTTCAAGCACAAATAAAATATAGTAATTTTAAACCTAATAAAACTTAAATATAAAAAAAACTGAGATCGTAGAGAAAACACTCACTATCACAAAATCTGCCACAAGGCAAAAATTATTTTTAATTCGGGTCTTCTTTTACGTACAGTCAAACCTCTTTATAATGGTCTGGTATATAACAGATTCTCTTTATAATGAATGAAATTTTTGGAACCGTCATATAGGACATATATATTCATTATATACACTATATAATGAATTTAGTTTATAACGGCCAAAAATTCTCAGAACCATGCAGCCGTTATAAAGAGGTTTGACTGTATATAACTTTTTTTAAGTATGGTGCATAAAATCTAAAGTCAACAAATTTTGATGCCTTTAGATTTTATGCATCATACTGATACGTTCACTAAAAATTGTACGATTTGATTGAATAAAATTCACGTGTTAGCTTGTGCTAGCTTAACTCAGGGTAGTCAATCACTAGCCAATCACACAACAGTCCCTGCTGTAAGTTGGAGGTGTTCTGTTTTTTTTTGTAAGTTGGAGTATATTCTTTCCAATGAGTTTGTTGGCGTAGAAGGCCGCTCAACTTCTATTTGTTTATTATTATTGCTTGAGTTTTCGGCTATGACTGACTCAAATGAGTGTGCGCTATCTTTTTGAGACGTTTTTGGAAGTGTATTTATTTATTATAACTGAGTTTATAATATAAGCAGTGACTTTTTACTCTTTTCTCTTTTTTCAAAAATTTGATCGATGAGAAAGAGTTTTATATGCCCTTTTTCCAACCTTTGCATTGCACCAGGCTGAAGTTGTTTTTACATTTTGATTCAACATTCCAGTTTTCTTTCTAAGATGAATTTGAGGTGGTTTTCTGAGGGCTTTTGACATTTTAATTCGTTGGGCAGGTGAGGTTTCAATTAATTGAGCCAC